AATGTTGTTTGGTTTCCTTTTAATCTAAAAGCTGCTCATTGGAATTCCACTTACTAAGGAGATAGTACATAGCAGTATATAAGTAGTATATTTGTATGAATGTGTTGGTAAATTTTTCTCAGTGCAGTTCGGCGGGTGTCTTACAGCGTGAAATGTGGAAGGCGTTGGCAGCTGCAAAGTAGCCGACACCGGAGTCTGAATCATTGGAGCGCACTTGTGTGCGTTGCGCTTGCCTTTGTGTGTGAGGGAATCTGCGTGTGTGTGTGTGCGTTGCTTCAGTTGATTGTTTGCTGGGGGCGCACCAGGTGTGGGGGCGTGCCGGAGGGCGTGGCAGGTGGATGTAGATCAAAACCCTGCTGTCGAGGAAGCCAATTTAATTTGATGAAATTAAGATGGCGATAAAAAGATGAGGGCGACGAAAGAAGTAAGTATTGCTTGGGGAATCTTAAAGGTGGCTCTTGAATAATTTAGGTTGAGTTTCAAAGGCATCTAGAAGGTATCTTAAGCAGCTACAAGTATAGATTATACAATTATTATAAATGCTATCAATAAATGCTATGTTATTCCTTTGACAAGCCCTTAATTTGTACCTTTCTTATTTAATAATTAGTTAATACATGCATGCATTTTTTAATACATACATACACACCACCACACACAAAATTTTTTGAGTCTTCTATTAGGGGTGGCCTTTGCTAACCCCATCAAATCAGAGCAAGTCCTTGACAAATGCCACACCTACTCAGAGTTATGGGCTCGACTTTCTCGGTCTGGTCATTCAGCTGTTGAGCGAGTTTGGCTGATGGATGATGGTCCGATCCCGGGCCAGAATAAATTGACCCCGAAAATTGCGAAGGTCAGCCACAGAGATGGCTCATGAATTATTAAAGACACAACAACAGCCAGTTGACCCTAATCCTCAAAACGGCTGCTGCCAATGATTGCAAAATGCTAAGCCAAATGGAACTAAATTCTGTGTGAGAAGTCTTGTGCGAGCCACAAAATTTCGAACGAAAGAAAACCAAACCGCAAATTTGGCCAGAAAGATGTTTTGACAATTTCCATGGCAAGGGGCTAAATTCCTTGACCAACTCCATTGAGTATTTCTCGGTTCTTCTGCAAGTAGCACTTTAAATTAATGAACTGAGATTAAGAAAGACAAATTGTTGTGGAGCCTGGGGCTTCTGAAAATTTCCTTTAGAGGCAAATTGTTTTTCGGTCCTGAAAATATATTAATTTGTATTTTGTGCTTGCCTCTCTGCGCTGCGCCCCAACCGCCAATAAATCTACAATTTATTGTTATTGATATTTGTGTAAGCAACTCTTGCAGGCCCCACAATTAAGAATTTAAGGGGCAGAAAATTGAATGAATTTTCGAAGAAGAAAATCAGTTGACAAGCTTCGGAAATTTATAGTACCTGCAGGAAGCCATGCAAAAAATATACAGCCACTTTCACTTGTGGCCCCAGAGGAGAAACTCCGAATCTCATGTGGAAAATGCAGTCAATGAAATGGTTTCCCAATATATTTGTGTTCTCTCCTTTGGTCGGTAGCCAAGCAAATATTCATTGAATTTTGTAGTAACAAACGACAAGTTGTCAGTCAGTCGGTGCAGTGGAAAAAAGGAGCTATTTCCAGGGAAAATTTATGGCCGCAATGTCGGTGGTGACAGGGCAACTCATCAACTCAGGTTCACGAGTGGGGCCGGCCGGGAATTATGCCATTAGATGTTTGATTTTCCTTTTCCCTTGTTCAGTTTGGTTTTGTTGGTCAAGCGAGCAGTTCAAATAGATAAGCAATTTCCGACGACAACTTGAACAAGCATAAAATGCAATGAAGCAACAACTTTCCGGCGGCGAAGGAGGAAATGTGAAGGCAAGGACATGGGTGCAGCTTTAGAAAGCTCTCCAAAGTGCTTCTTAACTAAGCTTAAAAGCAATGCCAACGGCCACAGAAGCAACTTCGATTTGGTGTGGAAATTGCAGTTCACTCTTAGATTTGCCCCTCCACGGCTTTCCCTGACAACTTTTCAGCTGCTATTTGTTTTTATTGCTGTTGTGGCCCATTGAAGTGTGACAAAGTCGCCGTCGTTGCGGCTATTAGATGACTCCAAAGGTGGCCCGAAGGTTGCAGGAAGTGCTTGTAAGGACACAGTCGAAGGAGGGCGCAGCTGCAACTGGGTTTATACCGAGCTGGAGAGAGGAACTAGGTTCTAAGCATTCCGTTGATCTGCCAAATCCCATTGAGTTTATCATCTGTAAATCTGCCGATGGGGTGAAAGTGAGGAGTGAGCTAAACTGGAAGCACAATGATATTAAGCATAAACTCTGTGATTTTGTGTATTCCATGTGTCTTGTGTTATTTAATGAAATCCGGGCTAAGCCCAAAGCTACACTATAAACTGGTACGATAGTTTGATCTTAAGTGTTAAGTGTAGAGTTTATCCGCCAAAAATTTGCATTTGAAATCCGAATCTAATCTCCCTAAGCACTTTTCTTATTGTCTTACCCACAACTTCGAAATATGATACCTCTGGCTAATTCAATTAGAACCAAGCATTAGCAATAAGAGTTGTGGAAGTGTAAGCTTCAAAACGCCTACAGACTCATCGCATAAACGGTCCTGGATGAAAGGCACGCAGAGCAAGGGAAATGAGCGGAAGGACTAAAACATCAACTAAGCTCATTTGTGGCCGCAGTTATCCGCAAGTGGCTGGCCAGGAAGCCACTGAAATCCTTAGCCACCCAAGCGCAACAAAGCCGCGACATCCTTTTCACCTGCTTTCGACTTCGATGGCGAAAGTTTCACATTTCTCGGCACTGTCATCATTTGTGGTTAATTTCGTCCCGCTGCCTGCGCTTATCCTTTGCCAACTGTCACGAGTTGGCGACAGGAGCGGAGTAAAAAGTTGCAGAAGGATGCACTGGGAATAGAGGAAGCAGTAACTCTTCAAAGAAGAGTAACCTGGATAAAAATTCTTCACATAAGATTAAACATACATTAAGAGACTTTTAGAGAATAATTATTGAATGACAATTTCACATTAAAACTGTGTCATTTCAAATTGTTTTTATTACGTATTTTTCCTTAGTGTTACTACTACATATCCATTACCCTGAAACATTATTCTCCTAATTTCCGTCGCCTTCCCCGTTTCCCCCGCCTTTCTTTTGCGCTAATTGGGGACACCGAAAATCTATAAACAGTCCTCCCAGCTCCGCAGTCCTTGTCGCTGTCCTTGTACTTGGTCCTTCGGCGTCCTGTGTGAGTACCTCCCCCCGTTTAACGTGCGTCCTTAAGCACAATAAATCTGTTTATCTCCGGCGAATGTCCTGCGCTACTCTTAAATCGGGAGTCCTTGTTGGTCTGCTTAAAAGTTAACCTGGCCGGCGATAAAAAGTTTCCCTTTGCTGCTGCTGTGGTCTTCTCTCCGTTGTGCTGGGTGTGCTGGCAGGCGAAATTTGTTTGCTATTTGTGCGGTATTATCCCTGCTGCCAGGAGTCGGGGAGCGGAGTGGACACTGAAAAGTGAATCCTCCACACGGTAGCATCAATCATCGACGGGGAAATTAAATTGCACTTCGGCTTACCTCAACCCGAGACTGGGCAACAACAGCCTAGCAAAAGCTGCAGGAAAGATAAGATTGATCCACGCTGAGACCACATCCCAATACCCTCTATAAAAGGCCGATTTTAAATTAGTTATTTCGAACATTAATTAATTAATTGTGACTTGCAAGTTTTAGGAGAAATCAAATTGTTTAATATAAACCGGTTCATAACATTTTTAAAACTTTTACTACTACTTTCAAAGCATATGCAAATGCTTGTTTGTTGCAGTAATTATTAGGCCAATGTGCCACAGCCTGTAAATCTAAGAAACATTGCGATGCGATTTAATTAGATGGATCAAATTTTATCCTGCTAAAACAAGTCGGGGTCCTACATCCTTCAACTATAATGGCTAAGAAATGTATTACTTTCGTAAAGTTTCTCAAGTTTAGCGAAGCTCATATTGTTTCAAGATGTAAATGAGCGTGGAGCTAGACGTTTGCCTCTTTAAAAGCCATTTTTTCATCCATTTATTATAAGCGGAAAATTTTAATTTTTCCGCTGAAGGCTAAGAATTCTTAAAAGTAAATTGGAAAATCACAGTGCGGTTATGTAATTAAGATTGGTTACTGATACTTGTAAATAAAAAAGTCGAAATTTTTAACGAAAGAGTATTTTCTGGCTGAAGCATTAGCAATGATAAAATCTAACAAAAGGGAGTAGACCAAAAAGTGTCGAACACCTGCCCCAGCCGAAAGCCAAAGAAGTGACTTTGCCATTGCCATTTTCCACGTTCCTAACTTTTCGGTTAGGACCACACCCGTCTACCCAAACGAGTCTTTTGTGGCCTTTAAGACTGCCTGGGTTCCCAAATGTTGCCCCTCCAAGCCTCCACATCCGTTCCCCTTTTTTCAGACGCACTGCGGTCATTTGCAAGGCTCGGCAACATAACCCACCACCTGTGCCATCAATTGCCACCGCAAAATGGCAAAACAATCAACAAGCAGCACGACGGGTGTTTGGCCCGAACAGGATTTCGAGTGTCCAAGCCCACCTCCACATCCACCTTCATATCCTGCACCACCCACATTTCAAAACCCGATCTGCGTGCCTCTGCTAACCGCAACATGTTGCGGGTAAGGAAGGCGAAGCTGTTTGGGAAAAACTGCAAGGAAATGGGTTTAGCTGCGGGCCTAAGATGTGAGGATGGACTTAAAGAAAGTTATTAAATGTTAATTTACCTTTGTTTACCTGAACATTAAACAATAACATAAAGTTTATAAATATTAACTTACCTTCAAAAACCCTAATGTAAATATATTAACATGTCGTAGACTATTAACATATTATAGCTGTACTAAATAAAGATTCGTTGCGCTTAACCGTAACTAAAAATATATCGACACTTATTTCGCGCTTTTCTATAAGCCCTGTACTATTGTATTTAGACTTTACAACCAGCAATATGAGTTTTGGAGGCATCTTAGTCATTCTGGGTAAATACTTGCGCATAAAGTAATGCTGGAAAAGTCTTACCATTATTTTCCTATAGCAATCTTTTTGCGTTCTCCACAATCTCCATCTAAATTTGGAAAGTGTAATCCTTTAAATTGTAGAAATGAGGATTAACTATATTATGACTATATAAGATCAACAATACTGCAACAATGTAATTGTTAATTTCATTAAACCTAAATTTCTAGTATGCACGTCGCTCTTCTTTTGAATTTAACTCTGAAATTTGAAATGGATAGTCGAAATAGAATGATTGTCTGGCGAAAAACATATGACCGAATATCAAGAAAACTAGAAGTGCAGAATATTATTAGTTTGCGTAAGATTTTGGGGGTAATATATCACTCGTGAGTCGTAGTGATAATAATTACATAATCTTAGGTCAAACAAGGACTTCTTTTAGCTTAAACGTATATATACGAGAAACGTAAAACGACATCAGCAAGCTCATCAGCAAAGTGCTAGTATAGTCTGATTAGGAAACTTAAAAATTGCTTAAAATTGCTTAACCTAAAAAATAAATTAATAACTTTGTATTCCCCATGCCTCATTACCAAGGCATTTGCAACAAGCGTTTCGTACAAACCTATTTGTACACGGCAATCTAAGCAAATCGTTTTGTCGAGCTTAATTTGCAGTTTGCCACCAAACGAGTGTCTAACCTGGATCCCAAGCTGGCGAGCAGTCCTTCCCACTCGGCTCCTTCTGGCCATCAAAGCTAATCCCAACTGACTTGGCTGGAAAAGTTTCCGTTTGGCGCTTGCCACGACGGAAGGCGCCAAGGAAATTCGGTCAAAGGGAGTTTCGCTTGATGAAGAAGTCGTTCTCGGTGGGCGGTGGAGCTCAGACCTCCTTCCACTCTCAAGTCTCCATTGAGCTGTGGACGGACGAGGGGGAAGCAGACAAGTGTTGTTCTGCATTGTGTTTTGGCCATTCAAGAATTCCCGGAGCCAACTCCAAGTCCCGTTGGGCCCGGGCGCAATTGACAATAGTTTTGCGCAAACTTCGAAAAGGCCAGTTGCACTTGACTGCCGGCAATGAATAAACAGGAGGTTCTGGGGCGGAAGAGCGTGGATCGCAAAGCGGGGAAAATCCAAATGAAAACAGCGCCAAGGAAAGCATTGGGTAATTGTAATTCCCGCTCTTACATAAATGCCAGTTAACCAGTTTGCCTTGTTGGGCAATTACTTTGGGCCGGGTGCGGTACCTTCTCCTGTTCTCAAAACTTTCATAATGAGTGAACACATTCAATTCCCATTTATATTTTCGACAGCCAAATGGCTTTCTATGGGGCAATGCCACAATTGATTTACACGAATGTAATCAGCAGTGTATGCACAGTAAGCAAAGCTCTACTGCCTCTTACTGTAGTAAGTTGCCTCAAAGAATATTGGTTGTACTCAAGTGTATGTGATAAAAATTTGTGTGTCGAGTTATGTGCATTTTAAAATGTTTACAAAAGCTTTCGAAGCAAATAGAATCTTTATTAGATCATGCTACCGATTTTAACAATGCGAAATGTACTCTAACTGATCCGCAAGACGCATTTCATATTTTTCTTTTACGATTGAGGTGGAGGTGGAGGTACGTTGCATCTTGGTGCCATTGGAGGACATGTATCTAATAGTAAAATGGCTAAAAGATATACATACGTTATAATTCTTTAAGTTATTATGCAATTACGAAGACGTACCACAAATGATAGAAAACATTGCAATCTTCATGATGATTAAATCAAACGATCTACTTTAGTAATACGGTACCGATCTTCGGTATTTATAGATCAACAAAATTAGCTCCGGAAAATATTACATTAGAAAATTCTTAATCATATTTTAAAAATAATATTATCGAAATGTCAAATGTCTTTTGGGTTTCTAAACGATATTTGTGCCATAAAATATTCATGTAAAAGTCGTGTCAAATTCGGATATGTATTTTCTTTACAAAATATTACATTACTATTAACCAAAATTTTATATTCACTGGGCACATTTCTTTTCAAAAGCTTAAGCTTACAAATGGTTGAAATGGATGCCCTGCAAAAGAGTGCAAGAAGCAGGAGGAAATTTAGATATAGCTTAGTTTCGCCCACAGTTTCAGCTGTTGCCGCGGAAAAACTTTAAGCATCAAGTGAAAAACAAGTGGACAGGCAGCTGTTCTTGACACCGCCCTTTTTGGACGGGCGAAACTTCGTCTAAAATGGCTAAACACTTTCAGGGTTCCCTCCTGCAAGAGTAAGCTCCATGCATCTGAGAACAACAACAGACACGTTGCCGCTAGGTGGCGACACCGTACAGCAATCAAACTCAACAACAGCCACATCTGCCGTCTATTTTGCATAAAAACCCAGCAAACAGAGTGCTGACAATTAGAGCAGCGTGAGTGAGTCATGGAATACATGAAAGACATCATGCTGTGGGAGGAGAAAGGCTTCGATCAAGTGCCTAATGGTACATACGAGTCAAAAAATGTACCCCCACTCAAGTTGATGTTAGGCATAGAATGCAGAAGGTTGCTTTGGAAAACAGTAATCTTTTTTTTTATTTATTAAATATAAAGCTTTGCCTTTGTTGTCAAACAATGATTAGAAAAAAACACAAATACATAGTCTATATTTAGTAGCTGATCATTTTTCTAACACCAAATTCGGACCAAAAAACCCCCGAATACATTCGAAATTATTGTGTTCTTACCGCGGTTTACCGCACCAGCTGAAAAGCGCTGTACCCCAGAAACAGACCAAGAAATCTGCATTAAACCAAACATTTATAAGCCAGCTTGAAAGTGAAGAACTTTTGGTCCCGTTCGTCAAGACCGTGGACTGTAAATGGGTGGCGCATGTGCCTTCTAAAATTCCAATTAATAAAATGGATAAGAAAGAAGTGCAGCATCAACGCAGTCAGCAGACGATGACAAAATCTCTGTACGCCATTGGAATGGGTCTTCTGGGAAAATCGGCGACCAACATGGGTTGTGCAAATGCGAATTTGGAATCGGCGGGGAAGAGCTCTACAAGGAATTATAACAAAAATCGGATTTATAACGAAAGGCTCGGTGCGATGGCCCCCGGAACTCTGGGGACTAATCATCATTATAAGCCACAACAGCTCCTCACCCAACATGCTCCCAAGTGCACTGCCGATCTGAACGAGAAACTAATAATAATCAATCGGCAAAACGCCAATAAAGAACTATCCGCCATGCAGGCAAGGGATATGCAATCCGTTGATAAAAACGAAGAGGCCCTGCAAGAATTGCAGGAGAGCATTCCGGAAATCAACAAAATCTTCGATGTGCACTGTCGCATCGGCAGTGGAACCTTCAGCACAGTGCTCTTGGGAACCCTGCAGCGGGAAAGGTGTCTCGTGGAAACCCAGAGGAGGAGATTCGCCATCAAACATCACAATCCCACAAATCATCCGGAGAGGATTCTTCGGGAACTGGAGTGCATGTATCGCATTGGTGGAGTGGAAAATGTAATCGGAATTAATTGCTGCATTAGATATAATGAGAACGTGGCCTTTGTCATGCCCTACATGACCCACGATCGCTTTCACGACATTTACAGAAGTCTGAATTTCCCAGAGGTTCGCGACTATCTGAGGAACTTGCTCATTGCCCTGCGACATGTGCACAAGTTCAATGTGATTCACCGGGACGTCAAGCCAAGTAACATTCTGTATAACCGCAGGACCGGCAAGTTTTTACTCTGCGACTTCGGGTTGGCCCAAAGGATCGCCGATGATGGTAGCGTCGTGCAGTCAAGTGACCTCAGCTCCCGGGAAGTATTCGCCTTTCTGAGGGACCTGGAGAGCGGCAGAAATCTGATGCTGACGGATGGCAATTCGGCCCAAACCGAGGCTGAGGATTACATGGCTCGCCGAAGGATGCGGGCTCTAGGTGGCGGTGGGGGCGTGGAACGTGCTCTGCCCGGACCGCCGAGTATTCAGAAGTTACGCGAGCAAACGGGTGGACATCTGACCAAAAAGGATGTGGCCAACCAGAGGGCCGACACCTTGAGGCTGCTGAACCGCCTGCGACTCATGAGCCCGAATGTGGATCCCAATAACTACGTGGTCTCCACAAACACCTCGAAGAAGGAGATGCACGCCTCAAGGGCTGGAACCCCAGGCTACCGACCCCCGGAGGTTTTGCTCCGACATCCCCAACAATCCACTGCGGTGGACGTGTGGGCAGCAGGCGTTATAATGCTATCTTTGCTCTCTGGTCTTCATCCGTTTTTCAAGGCCCCCCACGACTGCGGCGCTCTAGCCGAAATAATCAACTTATTTGGCGATATGCCGGTGCGGAAAACTGCCTTTCTGCTGGATAGGCTGATCTTGCTGGCGCAAAAGGTGAACACACTGGATTTACGGCGGGTGTGCATGCGATTTCGCCATGCGGACTTTTTCCTGGCCCCCGAAATACAGCGAAAATATCGCAGGCCCGACGGCACCACCGAAATGTGCCGCAGCTGCGAGCAGCCCACGTTCAATTGCCTTTGCAGCAACAGTGGGCATAACCTGGAGCGGTACGATGGCCTGGATATGTTTCCCGCTGTGGCCTACGACTTGTTGTCCCGCCTGCTGGAAGTAAATCCCCAAAAGCGCATTACCGCCGAGGAGGCCCTGAAGCATCCGTTCTTCAGCGATCAGCACCGCATCACGCCGGGAATACCTCTGCATCAGCAGCAGCATATATTGCAGCATCAGCAGCAGCTGAGATCCAAGGAGACACTTCCTGCGTCGGCGGCCCGAACTCTAAAGGCATTCGTTTGCTATCCCATGGAGTTGGCTTCTACGGCTTCACAGGCAGCGGGTAATCTGTGACTCTGGTCTCCGATATTTCTTTGTGTGTATCCTGCATTCTTTTGAGTCGGCGATTTGAGTCCTGAGTACCAGATGAACTGGAAGAATGCCTTCCCCTTGGCCACTTGGGGGCAACTAAAATTGTATTGTGCGCAAACCAAAAAAATTGAATATATGAAAGCTGCAAAATGTTTACGAAATTAACACCAAAAAAATATGGTATATTTATGTTTTTGTTCATTTCAAATTTATGAAGGCACCCACATCACTTGCGGTATCTTTCTTCTTCAATTATTTTTCTGGGTTTTCATTGTGCCCTTAGAAACGCAGAGCAACGATGAAAATTGCTGTTAAAGGTAATAGAATTCAACTAAAAATTATTAAATACAATTAAGACATTCTAGATATGCGTTTTTATTTGACGATAGAATTAATATTTTATTTAGTTTTGTCGATAAATGCCCGATAAATTATTTATCAAGGAATTCCAAAGGCCGTCTTTCAGTAAACATCATTGCCCCTACGAATGTCGAAACCTATTTCTGCCCCAAATGATCTTTCCTTTTAATATTTTACACGACAGCCATTTTCACAATTGGCATTTCTAAGGCCTGAACAGAGGAAAAATTGTCCTTTGTCTTATCAATTTGCATTTTTGACGCTTACAACAAACTTTACTTTGTTGTTGCACACAAAAGGGTTTCGGCAATTTTTCCCTTCGGTTGAGTAATTTTTTCGTCTTGACATTTGTTTTTGTCCGTCGCCAGCAAAAAATGCATGGCTCACTGCGAATTATGTTGACAATTTCATTCTGTACCCCAGAAAAGAAATCAGATTTCTATCTGCTTATTTGAATGTGTAAAAAGACAATTTTCGGGAAAGAAGAAAGAAAGAAACTCCCAGCTGTCGACGTCGCAAAATAGTTTATTAAATCGTATTCCCTCCCTTTTTTATCGAAATGTGAAAATTTGTTGCGTCCAAAAGCAGGCAGCATTGTTTTTTCAAAAGCCATATTCAGGGCATTTTATTGCATGCTTTTGTGCCGCCGGCTAAATGGTAGCAGCCGTTTATTTAACGCAGATTATAGAAATATTAAAACAATCCTATTTAATATCATATCTCAATAACATTTGTGCTCATGGCGAAAAAATTGAGTGGACTGCGGAAAGAATGTTTCCCAAAACTATTGAAATCTGTCGCGTGTAATAAAATAGGGAAATGCAGCCCAGAGCTGCTGTTTAACATCTTCCGGCCTCTAGTATCCACTGTTCATCATTCCGCGGACAGAGGGCACAAAAGGCTTTTAGCCGCTTCGTTGGGGATCAACATGGCCAACTCGTTTGGCCAATAACAACTGCGCCACGGCAGTCACACAGTAGTGTACTGACACGCACACCGACACACCTATTCCTGCACTGAAAAGCTGTGAATCGAACTGTAATTGAAGATTAATTAAAGGCAATATGTAATAATTAGTTAACCACTGGGGTAAATCAATATATTTTACGATTAATTATGTATTTGAAGTGGCTGGAGGTGAAAAATGTGTACGAGTATACTTCTTCTTGCCACATTCAACAGCACAAGTGCAACAAATGCTTCACACTACGAGTAGCGGGACTTCAAGTGGTGAAACCCATTTCTCCCTGTGCATTATCGCACTCAAGGATACACCTCACACGCCACGCAGACAAACACTGAGCCCCAGCTCCCCGCGGAGCCATAAACATTTCTAGTGCTGCACGGACCGCTCGACCACAAAAGCCGCGTGCGCAACTCACCGGACACAATGCGGCTTATCAACACGGATAAAAGGAGGAAAGAGGAGGAAAAAGGGAAAGGCGGGAAAATACGGGTAGGTGGGGAAGAGCGGCATGAAAATGACCGAGGATGGCGGAAAACTAAAGAGACGGCTCCCACAGCTCTGCTGTTCCAGCCG